TAATGTTACATATATACTACATACATATACAATCGTAGACGGCTGCATGGATTCCGATAGATGGATCTGCGGACGAACATCTGCGACATGTTTCTCCAAGACGCTCCAGCAACAGCGACAAACTCCGCAATCGTTCAAGACTCGCTCACATACTTAGGTGTTGAAGCGCCTGGATGGGCGTGACCCACGCTCCAGGCAGGTTTCCATGGCAGATTCGGCTGCTGGAACTTCAACACGACGGTGACGCGGGAGAAGCTGCTTCTAAGCCATCGTCAGAGTGGGGTACCCCGGCTTTAAGATTAAGCAAGCTGTGCTAAAGTCGATTTGCAGAAGCGTCGCTTGCATAGGGCGGAACTACAGGTCGCAAAACCGCACGCGTCTTCTCAGACTCAGCGGCGGTGTGGTGAACAGGTGATCTGAGCCGCACCAAGCGATGGCTGACTCCAATTGCACCAAGCTCTCCTATTCACCTCTTGCTGGCTCCACTGCAACGCGAGTCACATCTTTTGTGCATTCTCTCACCGCGTATTGGCCCGACGACGCTTTGCATCTTCTGCCACCACCGCCATCTCCTGAAAATCGGGTCGTGCTGGCGAGCGGAATGAGAATGGAACCGCCCCTAACTTTTGCCGAGATTTGCTCGACAGGCTTCAGCACCATGTCTGCACAGACTCAAAACCTAGTCTACAGAACTCTGAATCCCCAGTAAGTAGTTCAACGCCGTCTTGCCCCGCGTGTCGGTATTCAATGGAACAAGCTTGTTGCGTAAAAAACGCCGCAAAAGGGTCGGCGGCCTGCGCCTTTAGTGCAGATTCTCCTACTAGCCTTGAAAGGTCTTGTAGTGTCGACGAAACGAAGGCCCTGTCCTCGCGCCCGCGTTTGCGTGCAATCTCTCGGTACTTGAGAGCCTCAGCGCATGCGAGCTTAAAGTCTGGCTGAATGCCGGCCAACTGCGTAGCATAACATATGAAAGTAATGGTTTCAAGACGATTTATCGTCAACCAACTTTTTCTTTCATGTGGAAGGTGGAGTAGGCATCCCAAAATCTGCGAACGTCATCAACATCAGCTGTGAGAAGCAATCCTCTGTATGGGCACGTAGGCAGAAGTGGCACAAGCTCCAACCTGGAAAGCATTCAGGCCCGGAGCATTGGCGTTTTCTGGATCGAGTTGCAGCCTCAGTGGTGCGCTGTAAAGATTTCCACGGCCCATGTCTGCAGAACAACACCTGAGCCGCGGAACGCGGCATCGAAGTCCCTGAGGGCCTTGAGGCAGCAGCACAGGCAACTAGGGTGTCTCCAGCTCGGTACTCAGTTTTAGTCTACCCCGGCATGACCTCTGACAGTTTATGGCAGCTGCAAGCTATCTCCTGTTCATCCCCGACTTCCAGCCGCCTACAGGCATACAAGTTTTCAGGTTGCAGACCTGCTGGCCTCGCGTGCACGGCCGAGGTTTGTCAGCGCAGCTCCGCGTGCCACAAGGCCCTCCTCTGGAATGCAGAATTGAAGCTGGACGTCTTGGCGGAAGTCTCTTGTCAACAAATCAAGGGGGTCCTTGTGCGCGGGGCAAAGCTCCAGTGCGGCATCGTACCTGGCAGGATTAAGCACCGGAGACTTACTCCCACTCAACTAATGTACTTGGCCTGGGGTGTTACATCCATGTCTGGGGCTCGAATCACATTTGTAAATCTTACCATGAGTCCGATAGGAATGCCGGCGGGTTCATCTTCCGCGAAACTTCCAGCTGAGAAATATCCTTAGCGTACTGGGTCAGGGATTTAAGACTTACGATGGAAGCTCGGGTTTCCAACTCAAAATTTGTGACAACCAGGTTCGCCGTCGGAGGCAGTGGATTTGGGATCTCTATCTGTCTGGGGCATCTTGCAGCGACAGCATTCAGCCTCCACCGGACTTTCGAAAGCATTCTGATGCAAGCGATGCCACGTCAAGCGACTCAGCTCTCTGTATGCAGATGAACCTGAGCATGTCTGTACAAAGTAAACCCTTGGCTCCTTGGGTCGAAGGGTGCAGAATGATCCCCAACGTTGCAGGGTATCATTTTGAAAGATGCGGTTGACAGCCTTCTCACATCATAACATTGGATTTCCGGCCTGCTCGGCGACTTTGCAAAAACCAACTTCTTCTTCTACAGTGGGCATCTGCAGTGTCTTTTCGGCAGGAGGCATGCGCAGCGAAACAGCACTTTGTCAGTCATATTTCAGAGTCATCTGAAAATAGCTATCATATTCATGTTTGGCTAATTTTCCAACACAGATTAGATTCATTCAGATTTCCATGTAGATCAGGAATATACTGTACACTAGTTTGGTAGTTGCTATAATCATTGAAGTTCCATCGGATGCTAGTCCACTAGTACAAATGACTTTCTGCCGGCACAGGCACGATCATATGTGCGAAGAACCCTGGCCTCGAAAAACATGCTTCCACCTTTTGCTGCTGGGGATGACTCCTGATCCCGGCTCAAGATGGAAGAAGCTTACGTTTGGGACACGCGATGCGCGGCTCCCATTGTGCCGGGCTCGCAGTGCACTGAAGGGTCTACATATGCTTATGTGAGCAAATTCCGAAGCTGAAGTTTACCATAGAAGCCGTACCCACCCTCACGCAATCCACCCGCGCCCACGCACACATCAACCAACCAACCACCCACTGGGCTCCGAGAGTGCCCCCGCAGCCAGCAGGGCCGGCACAAGCTGACCGGTCCACAGCTTGTGTTGAACCTCCGCACGACCGACAATACTCGTAGCAGTCCTAGGAGCACTTGTTGCCTTGGTGCTAGCAGGAGCAGAAGGTAAGTAGTCGTCGTCGTCGTCATAGTCGTGGGGTGATGGTGGTGCTGCTGCTGATGATGGTGACACCTGTTTGCTACTATTATTGTTAGTGGTGGCAGAAAGGCTAGTCAGGTGACGACAGTGACAATCCTCAGCTAAGATGTCCCGTACGGGGATCCTCAAGGGGCACGATAGAGGTGGGACACCACAGAGTCCGAGAGAGGGGATGCTCGGGCCAGAGGCCTTGAACATCCTTGAACTTGGGGGCTAAAGTTTTGACCAAGACCGTGCGATTCAACATCAAAGCCGAATGCTCTGGCATTTTCATTCTGCACAGCACGACTGTCGCATGCGCCTCGCTGAATCCACCCTCACATTTGCCGCTGATGAAAATCCTGGGTGGAGAGGGTGCTTGGCAAGTTTCGTGTCGTGTGCTTTCAGCAAACCTTCCACTCCCACCCTCCAGCCCCATTGCTGAAATCCGCCGCTCCCTTGTGGCTCCTGGGCACGGATCCCGCACCCGTGGTGGCCTTGAAGTGGGCCTTGCAGGCTGGCTTCAAGTCAACGTCTCTTTAACCACAACGAGACAAGAAGGACCTGATCTGTGCCACAAGTGTGAGCACTGAGCAACATAATTATTTCGGGTCTTGGTTGCCCTGCAGTTGCCTTGAATCTACGAGTCGCTGGTACCGGTACTAAACACTATTTCGTTGGCCAAAGGAGCAAGACCGTGGCAGTAGAGCTGATAGCAGTGGGAGGTGTTGCGGAGTTGGGGTGTCGCGGTTGGTTCAGTCGGGCTCTTGCGGCTGCTTTCTGGGGTTGTGGTTTCGGGCGCAGCGGGGGGGGCGACTTGTGTGGTTCAGGGTATCCTGCCCAGGGCACCGAAGCATCCAGTTTGGAGGGTTGTGACGTCGTTGTAGTAGCCCAAGCTAGCACAGCAGCGGTTAGAATAGTTAGAAATTACCGACTTGATAACAACAATGTGGGATGACAAAAACATACCAAAACGCCAGTCATGATGAGATCACACATCACAACGAGAGTTGGAAGGGAGGGACCAACAGGAAGAACACGAAGATACGAAGCCTGCTATTTGTTGAAACGTTCGACCGCGCGGGATTCCACAAAACTGAACTAGGCTTGATCCCAAAACCCAAGCCTGCAAACTTAAACGGTATGCCGCTAGAACTGGTTGTAAGCTTTTGCTCCTCATCGCGAAGCTTGCGGTTAGTGTCTTTGCTCCAGCTGCTGTACATGCCACAGGAGCGACTGGGCAAGGAACCTCACAAAATTTCCAGGTCACGACGGCATCAGTGAATCGAATCTCGTGTATTTCCTGAAACGGAAACGCAGAATTTTGGAGGTCCCCAGTATTGTCTCCGTCATTCCCACTTGAAGGTCGAGCCTCCAGCGAGGAGACGGTCAGATCTGTAAAGGAATTGTATCTGCCGTTCTGATCGACAAGCTTGGATGCACAATAGGGTTGCGGAGATGAAACAGTGCGCCAACCAAAACTGCACAAGCATGCAATCCACTTTCTTGAATTGCCCCACCGGCGTTGTCTTCTGCAGCGACCCGAACTCCGTTTCAATGACGTTCTTGTTTGGATTCTGTGCTCACTTGCCTGTCAAGCTTGAGCTTGAGAACCGAGCATGCCAGTGGGGGAGCACCTTCACAGGTAGAAAACCACCGTCACCCTCAACGGTGTATGAGTTGCGTTGCTCCGCCGAGGGCCGGTTGCAACCCTCGCGAGCATCGAAGCGCCTTTTCTGGGCACCTCAAGGCGCTTCGCCAGCTCTCAGGATTGTGGTGACCTTGAGTGCGCTCCCAGCAAACGCATGTAGACTAATTTGTATTGAATCTGGTTTTCCTGCAATGAGTCAGCGACGGCTGGGGTCACATCGAGGAGAAACCCAATTAAATCAGCGGCCTTACCATCACTGCGATTTCAGCAGTGACGCCATGAGCCACATGCCGCTCCGTTTGCCTCTCCGAGAAGGCGCAAAGAACCAGCGGCATGCCAAGAGGGATCCTCCGTCCATTTAGTGGGACGTAACCATTTACGAATGAAGCCATCAGAAACTATCAGGATTACGGAGATCCCTGGACGTGTCTTCCCAACGTGAGCAAGTCCCAGCGTGAGCAAGCCCAAATGAAAGAAGGCGGCTCCTCATGCCGATCTCATCGCTTGCTGATGAGGCTTGGGGTCAGGATGGAGCAGAATGTGCCAGGAGAGGTGGTCGGATGCGAACGGCCATGTAGAATGATTTAATGTAATCTCAAAGTGCTGTTGGAACAACTCAAGCCCTCCAGCCTTGCGGCATGACCGCCTAGCAGGAATGACTGGTGGATTGCACCGGAGCCCGGAGCTCCAGGCCCTGACATTCCCGATCGCTACGGTGAGAAGAGGCGCGGACAAACTAAAACACAAGCACTCCCAATCGTATCCTAGATGCATCATGATGCATCCCTTCATTATGGTCTCCGTTCTTCCATTTCTTGTTGGCCCTCTCCTCACCCGGATCAGGAGCCACTTAGGACTCCTTGAGGGGACGGCCCTCGGCACGAAATGCTTCGTCCGGCCAGCCGCCGTCGACAAACTCCCACACGGCTTCCCAAACATCCCGGAACTCATCCTGATAATGATGATGATGATGCTGCTGATGAAGAATAAGAATAAGACGATGATCACCATGATCATCACCATCATCATGATCATGCTGGTTGTTGCTGTCGCCGCCTCATTGCTTTTCATCATTCTGGCCACCGTTGGTGCCATCGTCATCGACAATTTCGTTTGTTCTCCTCCCCATTATGATCACTCACCATGAACGAACGCCGCCACCCCGAAAGCAATCGGACTTGGACTCACGGCTAGCGCTTCAGTCACTCCAATTGGCGAAAGTTGCTTCAGATGCAGCCCCAAACCAAGGCAGCCGTGTTTCTCATGATTTCAAACAATCATTGTTGCAAATGCCTCCGGCAAACGCGGGAATGACACACGGTCGTTGCACCGGTATTACGTTCACATTCCCCTGTAACTATTCAATTTGTAGATTGCTGGTCGGAATCTCACTCTTTCGTGCACCCTGTATAAAGCATGTTTTCAGTTCTTCATGCCGGTACACGGGGTCTTCTTTCCCGTGGCTCAGCACGCCGGCATCGTCACAACAGACTCCATGGAGCATGCCCGAGCCAGACCAAAAGTGGAGCCTCGGAAGCTGAAAAATCAACGAAGCACTCAGCAAACGAGACCTTTTGCCTTTTCAGTGCGGTCTCTGTGGCTTTCCGTCGCGAGTCGAACAAGCCCAACTCCCCATGCACGGTGTCCGAGCCAAGCGGCTCTGGCTGGCTCTGCGCTTTGCGGTCACATGCCTGACATGGTCACTAGCAGCTCAAGCCCAAACTGAGTACACTTGGCGTGCTCTGTCGCTTTTAGACTGGGGCTCCGACCCAAAACTGCGACAGGAGCGGATCTTGTGGGAGACCGGGTGGGTGCCTTCGGCCATGGCCTGGCATCGGAAATCGCTGCAGCCTTGCATCCAGTGACCTTACTCCTTGCTCCATTTCTCGTTTTCCTGACTCAAGAAGGGCAAGGCCCGCCAGCAGCATCTTTGCCAGCAGAGTCGAATGTGTGTGGTCGGCAGACTCCTCGACGGCAAATTGGTTTTGGGAGGGGGTCTGTACTGCCAGAAGATCAGAAACTTTGGCTCTGCATGCCGTGGCACATTGACCTCTTGCTTGCTTGGCACCAGAATCTTCACTTCCTCCTTTAGCCAGCAGTGGCTTCGAATCTCTGCCTCTGCATTCAATGTTTTCACAGTAAAGGCAGGGGGCACTGAAGATCAACCCCTCACACATTGCACAGTACGACGTGTCAAAGTTAAAGTCCCAGACTCTAGACATACGGTCTACGGAAGCAATGTGGGGGTAACGGTACCAACTGAATAGCTGGGCCATGCCTCCACTGAGACTATGAAGTCTCGTGTTCCATAATCTGCGACAATTCATGTTCACCAACTTGAGACTTTAAGTGTTCAGAGTCAAGAGATCCATGCGCCGGCAGCTGCACATGCAGTCTTGCTTTCTGTGCAGGGTCGAGGATGTGTTGTCTAAGCCCAGGCTACATGGCTTTGTTCACATGCCAGGTTGCCATGGAAGCTCGCGCTTCGCGATCAATGACCAGCATCTTCGATATGACGTCCTCATCAGTTCAGGCCCTGAAGCCGTGCCTCCCAACTACTCGTAGGAAATCCTCCGCCCACCCCCCAGTCCTTGGCCTCTGCTGAGACATAGCCAGGCATGCCTGCAAACGTGTGCAGTGCCAGTATAGGGGTCCGGCGGATGGGACACAGGTGAAAACCAGAGTACGTGATCGTCCGCAACAAGCCTATTCGGAAGCTGCAGCGATGCTCAGAGCCATCACCGAACGCAGTGAAACACAGGCGTTGATGCTAAATCGCGGCAGCCAAGTGTCGATATGTACCCGACTTGATGAGCTTGAAGAGAGCAGCGGTTGGGTCTGCATCAAAAGGTAATGTCCTGCAAGCTGCCGGCACTGACACTTTCTTGCTTCACCACTTGAAGCTGTGACTCCCATGTCCTAACTAACATGCCACGATTGCCGGACGTTCTTGACTTGACGGAGCTCGACAACCTGCTCTCACAGCACGGCGAGCTCTGTCCCCGTAATCATGGCATAAAGCACGCAGCCAGCAGCCCAAACGTCGACCTGCGTCAGAGATGCGACACGGACGGCCCATCGTGAACTCTTAGATACTCCAGTGTGCGACGGCTCAAGGCACTCATTAGGGCAGGCCTCAGGGCCCTGGTAGCTGCACGCACGCTGCCTTTCCAAACGGGTTGCAGTGGAACTTCTGCGGTCCCATCGGGGTCAGGAGTCAGGCTGCTCGTCATTGTCAGTTGTCGGAAGGAATCCCCAACGTCTCCCTCCCACTCTCTGCTCACAACAGCTTTCCAAGATCCACAGTGTTGCAAGATCCGAACCTGAAGCCGCATATGGAGATAGTAAGCCCCAGCACAATTTACAAACCAAGCTGTCGTCTAGAGCAACGCCCCGGAGAGTGCTACATAGCCCTATGACACCTTTCAAAACCTCAAGCTTTGAAATCTCAATTCTCGACCTGTATCAGAGCCCAAAAGTGCGAAGCTCCAGCGGAGTGACAGGGGTTCATTTATTACTTATGCAGCCGGATATCTACCAGGAGGGTCCAGGCACTGAAAAAATGGGAGAGCAATGCTCATGTTGTTGAGCCCTCAGAGTTTGGAGCCCAGCGTCAGCAGCTCAGGGGCAGCGTAGTTCGGCGAGCCTACGGACTCTGTCAGAGGAATTCCTCAGAAGTGTCATTTGAGTGAGGTGTTGGCTGTCGGGCTTTCGGGAAGACATCGAAGGGCAAAGACTGCATCCAAGCTGCCCCACTCGAACTTTGAAGAGAGTCCGAAGTCCCCCAGCTTTACATTCATCTGGGGAGTCGCAAGCGCATTCGTGGACGGTTCAAGCAGCTAAGCAGCTAACAATTGCAAGCAGTTGGGCACTCCTCGTTGCTACGACTGGCGCATGGAGTAGCAATTATACTGCACACCATGGTGTCAAAGCCATAACATCCCTCAGAGGTGCATTGGAATCGAGGAAGATGTTCTCAGGCTTGAGATCTCGATGAGCCACGCAATTCCTGGGATCAGTTTGGTCATACGATCGCGAGAGTCTTGCTCGTGGTGGCTTGCAATTTCGCTCGTGGTGGCCTCGCCGCAAGGATCGGCTTAGCCATACGTAGGCATTCCGCCAACCGGGTACAAAGAAAGGAACCCAGCAGTGGAGCACTTCGCAGATCAAACCAGGCATAGCATCCGATGGCAAAATCCCACTGCATCAACGATCTGCCGGAAATAGCATCGCGCCTCCTTGTCCTGGAGCCGGTTCCTCGGCAGCTCAATCAGCTCGTGCAGGCAGCACATGTGTGACTGGTCATCCCGAAAGCTGCGCCCGTTTCTGCGTAGACGGCCTGAGCTCTGGCTAAGTCCTGAAATCCCCATCTGAAGTCATCTGACCCCCGGAAACAAAGCTTTATCCAACATTGACAGGTATGCCCTGGGGTATGCGTTCTGTTCTCAGATGCATGGCCAACTCAAACTTTGTGGCGCGCCGGGTGTACCCCTCAGCCGTGCTAAGCGCTGAGCAGGGGAAGTTTTCAAGCTTTCCGGGGTCTCACCTCGTGTCTCTCAACGAAGGGAGCAAGGCACCGAGCGATGATCAACTCAAAGAGGTCACCGCCTGTACCTCCTTGGCACAAACAATCACAAGCCAATTGGCAAAACATCTTCCAGGCTCAGGAGGCTGGTTTGTGCTAGGAAAGGCTCCCCTGCAGATGAGGTTCGTTCCATGAAGACGAAGACTTTGCCGTCACTTTCCTTTGGCGCACGAACAGGCATCAACGTCAAACTTGATCTACCTGTAGGACTTGCTTCAGGCATGGAGGTTGTGCTCCCAAAGCGCTAGCGTGCTCTGGCTTCTGACGTTTTGAGTGCCCACAGATGTTCAAGTCTTTCTTGTGAAAGCAAGCAGCAATCACTTCCATAAGTTGGATGATGTTCGGGTGCCGCAGTCCACGCTGGTTGTCGATCTCACGCTGAATCTTGGCCTGAGGACCAGCTAACAAGTGTTAATCTGATCCCGCATTTACGTGTGCATTACGGCGGTGCCACAGTCCCCGACAGTCCCCCTCCTGATACGACTTGCGGGAAAACAGGAAGTCGCGAAGTTGAGAGACTTCGGCATGTCTGACTATTGGCGATTCACAGCTGGTGCAAGCTTTGCGAATGTTTCAATGAAATGCGTGATCGGGGCCAGGCAGGAGACTAGCTTGCCAGCCGTGCACCCATGCCCTCACCCTCTCTCGTCTACATCTCTCGTGTTGTGTAGAGGCCAAGTGAGCCCCGCCCCGCGATGTCATTTGTTTCCAAGCTCGGGGCCGGGTCCATTCGGCTCGTGTTGATGATCTTCACTGCAAGAGTGTCACCAGTCTTCACGTGCTTGGCCATGTTGACACTTGCAAACTGGCCACGGCCTGAGCACGTGCACTTCTGCCTTCGGCAGCATTGAAACTAGGCGTCCTTGTGACTGGCTTCGTTGCACGCCTACTGTCCCACCGGGCGGCCCAAGAATCCGCCAATCTCATAGTCCCCAAGGACGGTGCCCATGAAAGAAGTCATCTCTCGGCTGCAAGATTTCAGTTCAGTCGTCGTCACTTCCGCGGCTGAGATACCCAATGGCTTTACTGGGTATTCGGAGCCGCGCGGAGGTTCAGGGGGACATGAGCTTGGGCCAAAAAGTGTCTTCGAGATGCTGCAGGTTGCAAAGGTGCCGAGTCTATGACCAGTGTTCATGCGGAGATTTGTTCTGGATGAGCAGAGGTCAGTGGAGATTACAGCTTTGTAGTGCTGACGGTATGTTTGTCTTTGTGTTGGCTTTGCCAACGCCTAGGCCTAGATCATCTGATTACACTGAAAACACCAATCGAAGTTACAATTCCGAGACATACTGACATCTTGGCGCGAAGACGAAGTCCTGCACTGATACTGATGCTGACCTCTGCTACCATCGATCTAGGGCTTTCTTTTGCTGTGGGCCACTTCACCCCAGCTGCAAAGCCTGCAGCGCTGCTTTGGCTGGGCCAGGAAGTGCATCCAGCTCGTGGGAGACGAACTCAGCCTACCGGTGCAGAGTCAATCGCGTCAACTACAGGTGTAAGAGTTCTATCGAAGAATGAAACCTGCAAGACCAGGCACCAGCACGCCAAAGAGGCCCTTGCTCCAGGCAAAACATACACGAAACACAACAATGGCATGCTCTCTGGTCAGGTTGAAATTACCCTTGCACGCTTCCTATGCACCGTTCATCTGGTGCCAAGGTGACCATGTCCGTTGACGTGCTTGCCATATCATGTTCGCTCGCTGCGTGATGGCCTCTAGGTCTGCAAGCAAGGTCTTCGCCCTCTTGCAGAAGGGGCAAGCCCTGAGATTGCGATTGCACATTCTTGGTATGTTGCTACGGTGGACAAGTCTGCTGCAGACAAGCCCCTTTCTCGTTCGATCACATACAACTCTCCATTCATCACCTGACAGCACCTCTACATGGATGATCTGCTAGTCAGCCAAGCCACTGCTTGGAAATCATGAAGACAGGGTGAGCTTCCTCGGCAGCCGGAGGCACGAAAGATCTGCGATTTGTCGCCACAACGTCACACCAGGTACTGGTGCCACATCTCCGAGAAGCAAGAAGCCATAAAATGCCCCGAAGAGTCACAAAGGTCCTTCACCAGCTTGTCGGCATCCAAGCTTTCGGCGAAGGCCTTTGACCACCAGAGGAGGGCAGCCAGTAGGGCCGAGGATTGCTCAGGCTCCGGTGATTGCGGGATATATACTATCCGTCAACGGCGAAAGCACCAGAGTCTCTGAATTGAAATCCCAAGCTGTGAAATCAACAAATCCTCCGTTCATTCAGATTTTTAGCACAGGTGGGGGTAGCAATGATAGGCCAGGAGCGGCCAAACATGCTGTGAGCACTCGCCACTGGCTTTTACTGGCGCTCGAAGCCGAGTATCCTCCAAAGGCGTGGAGGCAAAGCACCTCAGCCCAGCAACTATCCTACTCTCGGACCCCGAATCGCACAGAAGAAACACAGAAAGGTCTAGAGCCCCTGAAGTCTGGAAACCAGGCACCCCAGGAAGGCTCCAAACTGGGCTTCAAGGATCGGTGGCAGTACCCGAAGGGGTAGCCTTCTGGTCGGTTCTCACAGGACATGTGGGTGCGGAAGAGCCACTTAGTCAACCTCGCAGTCTGTGACAGTTACACATACTCACGATTTCGCCATTGGATATTGGCAGCAAGCTGGGGTCCAGCTCACAATTCTTTCGTTCTTAGAGAACCAGTTGAATCAATTGCGGCAGTAGCGCCGCCAGCTGCGCGCTGCATGCGGTGCACGGACACTGATCCGTCGGGCTGCTAACATGACGAATTCAATCGCACACCGGTTTTTGCAAGTGCGGTGCATTTTGGCAGCTTCAGCTTGCATGGCACTCCCATGGCCAGTGCATTCAGCACATATTATCTCCTAATTAGTCAGTCGCGGTGCTATATACTCAGCCTTGAAAGGCAGGATGAGCAGATGTTGGCGCGACATGCAGCAAGCACCAGTTCACAAGCTGAAAATCGCCCGAATTGGGACCTTGGATAGGGACCTCTCCGAACTTGATACGTGAATCTCCGCTGTTGAACTAAGAACCTGGAAGTGGTGGTTACTGCTTAGTTGCAGTCGATAATTCTCCGATCTTTTCTTGCTGTTGCTTCTTTACCCTTGAAACATTATGAATGTCGCATTGGCAACTTTGATAAAGAAGTAAAGCGAGCTCTGTGCAAGTCGCGCCGGCGGTACCACTCCAGAGCCCCCTTCTGGTCACCGGAACGGGCCATGCCAAGACCTTCGCGGACCTGGAATCTAAGAGTAGTTCTTTGCACCGAGAACTACTGCACCATACTTTACTGGGTGCTAAATGGTGCTATGCACTTCCAGTCGTTCAAACTGGACTTTGTTGCGAAGTGTCAATGGCAGTTAGCAAGTCCCTGGCTCGTCGATCTGCCCAAGCCCTGCCCTGATGTCGACTCAGCCGATGTCCACGCCTCGCGGATCTCTTAGACGTATCTTTGACTTTTGTTCAGTTTCGGACTTCTGTTGGTCGTCGTCGGCAGCTCTGTGTCTTCGCTTGATTCCCTAGCATCGCTAAGGGCCCAGTGCTTGGAAGTGATGTGCACCAGACCGAGTGCGGGGCGACTTGGAAAGAGAGCCTGCCATCAACGCAAAGTTCGATGCACTTGCTTGCTGCGGCGCTGCACCCACATGCAGACCACAAGAGCTGGGAGGATTGACAAGAAGGAAACCTGCCTGCTTCTGGCGCCGTTCCAGGATCTACCTCAAGATTTCGAAAGCTTAAGTTTGGAGCGCTTTTGGAAGACCCAGAGCTATCTAACCTGCTTCATCAGCTGCCCTGAGCCTTCTGCAGCGTTGTCTCAGTCTCCACACACCCCTAATGTTGCATCCGGCTTTACGGTGTGCTCCCCCCTTGTAACAATGAAGCTGCCCTGAACAAGATGGCGCCACTCGCATCGCCTTGATTGGGGAGCTGAGTAATGCCGCAGTGCAATGTCAATAGGGCATGAGTAGCATGGTCATGATGATGATGATGCTGCTGATTTTTGTTGTCAGCTCTAGTCTAAGATAGTGTTCCTGCCAATTGTAGTAGTAGTAGTAGTAGTAGTAGTAGTCGTGGTGGTGGTGGTGGTAGTAGTACTGGTAGTACAAGTGGTAGTAGTGGTGGCTATAGTGGTAGGATGAGAAGGAGGGAGGCAGTCTGGCGACTTGACTCATGACATCGCTCATCGCCATGACAGCAAGACCATTCGGACGAAACCCTTCACGGCAAGAGGGCCGCACGATCAATTAAACAAAAGGACATAACATTCATATTGACCACATAGGGACATAGGGTCACCAAATCAGTCGGGCGCAACATTACGCCGTAAGCGCCAGACCAGGCTGCCATGGAAGCGACGGATCCCCAGCTCCCGTGCCTCATGAGCCATTGTGCTCGTCAACTCAGTGAGCTGGATGCACAGAAACCCACTTGGAGCATCATGAGTGGCAGAAGATCTCGACATGACAGAACAGTTCAAACGATACACCGCACCGGGTTCATGACCAAGGCGAGGGAGGGGTGGCCACGGCTGGATCGAGCTTCTGCCTCGAGCTGATTTCTATCAGGAGCCGTAATCGCTGGGTGCTTCCTGGGTGAACATATGAGGCCTGTCAAGCTTGGATGCTGAGTTCTGCAGGAGTCAGCATGCAGGCTAGCACAGTTCCCGTACTATCGCCCAATTCACAGATTGCACCTTACATTCTCATTGACTAACCAAAGGGCCAAACGGTACTTGGAGGTTCATGGGTAGTTATAAGTGGGGTTACAAGTCTCCTAAGTAGGATTATAAGTATAGTTACCCTACTTATAACCGTACTTATAGCTGCCCATGAACCTCCAAGTACAGGACCCTCCAGGTTTCTATCTCTGCCTATAGTCCCCATTGTAGTTCCCTTTTGTGGTTGACCCAAATATATATTAAGGATTCTATAGGGTATCCCCAAAAAGGAACTACAATAGA